ATTCAGCCAAAAAAAATAGAATATATATTTTTTGGTGTACCACAGAATTTTAGTAATTAGTTTATGTGTACCATAAAATAAAAAAGGTTGAAAATCGCTGGACTAATGCACCAAGAGCTCTTCCTTCGGTGCTACAACTGAGCACAAGTATCACTGAATGTTGGGTTGACTTCATGGGGGTGTTGAGTGAGAGGAATACCCATTGATTAGCACAGAGCAGGCATCTGAAAGGTGGAAAGAACGTTAGAGTGTTTGTTAAGCCTCCTCATTTTACATACAGACACTGAATCCAAAAAGCATAAAACGCCTGCCCCAAGTTCTCATGGGTGGTTAGTGGCCAAGCTGGGACTAAACCCCAGATTTCCTGCCTCTGCACCCAGTGCTCTTTAGCAAGCCAGCGGGAGCTGTGAGGCAATCATCTGTAAGATCACCTGAGTCAGTCAGCTCTCTACCATCTGGACTAACAGGAAAACAGTGACTCACAGAATCCGCCGTTCCTCTGGAATGCAGGAGAGGTGTGCCTTTCTTCTGTGCTGTGAGCCTGTTCAGCTTTTGTAAATAAAACCCTATTTTAAATGAAGTTGGAGAGTTGGCAATTGTAAGCGCCTTGCAGGCCAAGGTCATATTTGGTGATACTTAGCACAAGCTTAAGCTGACTGACTGATGGATGGAGAGAAAATTTCTGTACCTAGAACTTCAAATAGTCAGCGATTTTTTTTTATTATTTTTTTTTTTTGCTTAGACCGAAAGCCATGTTCATTTGCATTCGGAAGCACTTAGGAGTGGCAGGAAGAATAGGAGGTTGAAATTTGCCAACAGTAACACATATAAAATAGTTGAAAGCTGGCTGTTTGAAAATGGGAAGGTAAATCTTTCAAACCCAGATTCCATTGTTTTCTAATCGAGTAACCCTTGAAAACTCAAGAATGTCATACATCAAACCTACTATCTGGGAATAGATTCTTTTTGTTACCTTTAAAGCTACAACAGGAGCAAACAATACCCTTCCCATTAATTCCACCTGTCATCTGGCTGCACGGTGGTAGAATCCTGCCTTCTCACAACCACGTTCCTCTGGAATGCAGGAGAGGTGTTCCTTTCTTCTGTGCTGTGAGCCTTTTCAGCTTTTGTAAATAAAACCCTATTTTAAATGAAGTAGGAGAGTTGGCAATTTTAAGTGCCTTGCAGGCCAAGGTCATATTTGGTGATACTTAGCACAATAGTGCGCTATAGAAACACTCTGGGCTAAAGCCACCTTCATTTCTGTCAACTCACACAGGCTTCCAGGTCTGCAGGGCAAAGACACCTAGTTTTCTCTATTTCTAAGTATGCTAATGGCCCTAGACATACCAACAAGCATTTCTCTGCAAAACTGCTATAAAGACACTATGTTCTAAAAAAGTGAAATCTTAATAATATTCCATTTCCATCATGCTATTCTACTGTTCAAAAGTCTTCAATGACTCCTCGTTGCCTACAGTATACAGTTTAGGCTACTGAGGTGACATTTAAGGCCTTCCACAGGCTGACCCCACCTCTCCTTTCCTGCTTCTTAGCCTCATTGTTCTGCTACATAGGCCCTTCCCTTCAGTCACGCTGGCCAATTCACCGCCCTCCAAATATTCATGTGTCTTTCCCAGTAGAACACATTCCCGCCCTTGCCCTACTGTTCATTGCCCATCTATACGATTGCTGCTTTCCATGGCTCAGCTCAAACGCCTCCTCCTCTCTGAAGTCTCTACCAGGATTTCATGCTTTTTTCCTCCATGAGAACAGATCTACATTCTTGTTTTCCTCTGCTTTAAATGCTTCACACTGTCTGGTGTCCACTCTTAATAAATATTTGTTAATTGATTAATTCTAATTAAGCCAGAAAAATTTCCATTTCAAAGGTTTTTAAAATAAGGTAATCATTCATAGCTGATATGTCCCACACAATGGGAACTTCTGAGTATCTAGTATGTTGTCATTGGATTCCTTTCTTTCCACAGAAGACCAAACTAGGTCATTTCAAATCTCAGTCACCTTCAGAGAGATTCTAGAAGGGCATGCTAAGAGTCAGCAAACAGATCACATTCCTGGATTCCTGACTTATTGTGCAGATCTGCTACTGGATCAGATTCAGGCAAGTGTGAACTGGAGAAAGAACTAATCATTAGCAACATCCAAACAGAAAGAAAGGTGGTCTTTTGTTACACTGGCTGGATATTCAGGCTTGAAGGGAGGGAGGAAGTAAAAGAGAAAAAAGTGGAAGAAAAATACAGCTGTCAATTGCCTTCCCTTCAAATGTGCTTTTCTTGCCTTTACTGTTTCTATTTTTCACAACTGTGTGATGGGACTGGAATGTTTGGAAGGCATTAAATCAGGATTGAAAAGGTGATTGGCTGTAATCTGATGAGACTGTCTACTAACATGTTTATCTCCTAGATGCTCCTCTAACTGGGTCCTGTTAAATTTGCCCAGAACACATTTCTTTAATAAATTAAAAAGTGGTATCCTGCCTGTCAAATCACATCTGATTTTGAGGGTCAGCCCCAGAATAGTCAATGCACTCCTATTTCTAGGTCCAGTAACAGGGGTTATTCATTTCAAAGACTTAATGAATTTGGCCACATCCTCAAAAGACAAACCAACTATTTGGAAAGAGGAAAACTGAGTTATGGAGGATAAGAAGCGAGTAAAACCAAAAAGCAAATGGGCAGGACAGATAATGTGAAAGTTCTAGTTTACTAGGCATTCATTAATTCTTTTATTCATTCATTAAACTAATAAATACTGACCATTCTCTATGTGTCAGTGCTCAATAATGTCATTTATTTAATCAGACTATATGTATCAATTGAGTATTTATTTTCTGTTAGCAGTTAACCACTAGATATAACTTCATCATAGCCCAAAAAGTTGCTGTGTGTAATTTGAATAGGAAGCATAGAAGTAAGAAATACTATAAATAAGAGAAATAATCAATGTCAAAAAATCATGAGTAATATTGGATAATTGTTCTCATGTCAAATTTATTTATGATAAAGATATTAAAGTTTTCCTCTCATATATCATTCATTTTCCTTCATACTTCAGGTACATGGGTTCTTACTTATTGATTCCCAGGTGTATCCAATTGAGAATAAATTTAGTTACAAAGGAAACAATTGAGGTTTTGGTCTCTGGAGGCAGACAGATAGGAATAGGAATATGTAAAAAACTAAGTCCAGTGTAAACTTGGCACATATGGCAGCCAGTAGTAGTATCATCCAAATGCCCTGTTGGGTTTTTTCATAACAGATTTCTTTTAAATCCCTTTTTATAGTTGTGGATCTCTATAGATCAATGGTTCTTAAAGGGAAGAGGGAATTTTGATCCCCCAAAGACATTTGGCTAAGTGTAGGGACATTTCGGTTTTCACAACTTGGTGGGTGGGTGGGGGTGCTATTGGCATCTAGTGGGTAGAAGCCAGAGATGCTGCTCAACATTCTGCAATGCACAGGAGATCCCCACAACAAAGAATTATTTGGCCCAGGATGTCCGTAGTACCCACTTGGAGAAACCTTGCTCTTGGCCCGCATTTTTATTCGCTTGGAGCCTGGTAACATTGAAAGGCATCAGGCTCTAACTTGAGGCCAGGCTGGGTGCTCTATATGGCCACCAGGTGCTCAGGGTGCACAGAGTGCACTTGCTTTGCAAACTCACCAGCTGTGGCTCCCCCTCTTGTTAGTTTCAGCTGGTTGTTTAAGCCCTTTGAGATTCCTTTCTTTTTTCCTAAAAAAAAATTTAATGTTGCCACCATTGCAGATGTCAATCTCCCACGCCTGCCTCCCCTCCCTTGGTCTTCACCACATTATTGTCCTTGTCCATGGGGCATGCATATATGTTATTTAGCTAATCCCTTCACTTCTTTATCCAGTCACCCCCACAAGATTTCTTTCTTTTAAAAAAAATAAAACTACACAAAAATGTATCATACTTACTCATAAGGTTGTGATGAACACTGAATCAAGTTCTATATAGTTTTATATAGAGTTATTTATATGCAGTACAAGTTCCATTAATTTTCCCGGCCCACCCACCACCCCCCTGTCCCTCTCAAAATCCCCATCCCCAAGGTTCAAATTCTCTCCTTTAAAATGCTTTCATTCCTTTGGTGGCAAAAATCAGGCTCAGGCTGGGAAGTGAGTCACCACTCAGAAGCTAAAGGAGCTTGTTTTTCTTTCTCTGAATGCATTTGTTAAGAATTTCTGCCTGATCCTTCAGCCGCTTGTGGTTGGATCCTCTCTTTAATGTTTAAGACGCACGGAGAGAGCTATGGCACCAAGACGTTTTCCAATTGTTAGGAATGAGAGTTTTTTAAATACCGAGAATAACCAGAGGGCAGAGAGCCCTGAAATCCTGTTACATAAGCAGATGCTGGAGGACCCAGGCAGGCGGTGAGGTTCCCTTCGCCACAAGCCAATCTCTGCTGATCCTCCCGAACCTTTGCTGGATTTACCTTGATGCGGTAGAATCTCAAGAGGGGACTCGGGATGCACTGCCGGCAGCCGGACCAGCCTGTAAAATAAGCAGTGCCAGGGGTGGGGGGAGGGGCTGGGTGTTCCCGGGGGGCGGGCGGGGGGCTGACCGGGCTGGGGGCGCAGGCGGCGGCCGGGTCCTTCCCTTTCTTCCCAACCTTTTCCCCACATGTAGTCTACATCCCTTTCTCTATTTCTCTTCATTCTTTTTTCCCTTCTCCTTCCTTCCTTTCCAGTCGACACTCCTCCCTCAGCTCCTGCACCCCATCCCCCACCCCCGCCTCTCCGCCCTCTCGGGGGCTCGGGCTCTGCCCTCTCTGCCCCTCCCTAGAGAAGAGTGTCCAGCTCCCCCCGGGCTGCCCGCCCGCCGCTCCTTCCCTGCCCACCTACCACGAGGAGCGACTCCTCCCACCTGCCCATAAAAGCCAAGTGCATGTTACCAGCACCGGATCAGAGCACTTTCCCGGTCCTCTCCTGTGGGAGCCCCCAGCCTCTCTCCTGGATCTTACGTGCTCAAGGTAAGGTAACACTCTGCAGGATCTTACCTACTGGGGTAGCTGCTGGGAATGTCTCCTCTGGTCAATGGGCTGTTTGGTTAGAGCCGATTCTTATGGATGCCAGATCAGCTGCTCCTTTAACTAGCAACTGGTTTGAAAACAGACTTCTGTTTGAACGGTAAAATAAAAGTTCATTCTGGGCAGAAACAGAAGCATAAATATTGCAAAAACCTCTTCTCTTTTAAAATCACTTTCTCTGGTGCTGACTGTGGCTGAGGTTAAAATGTATCTATTGAGGGTGTTTTGCTGAAGGCTTTTCATTGTAAATATCTCCCACATCAGTGGGGGCAAGGAAAACTTTGTCCCATTCTCAAAAATGTACTTTAAAAGGACACAATTAGTTTCCTAAAAATAGCACAGCCAAAAGGTCTGCTAACAATTTTGCTATGTTTTCCAAACCCCCAATACAGCTTCCGTGAGTCCTTTTAAAAAATATCTTTCCAGGTTGAAGTCCTTGGAAAAAATGATGCTGTGAACGGGTGCCCTTTCCACAGAGACGGTAATCAGGTGGCTGGTAGATAGGAAAGAACAAATCCAAGTTTACAAGCCATGGCAGAGTGTGCTCTCACAAAGCTATCCTTTTAAGCCTTCCTAAAAGGAGAATTGGATTGGAAGTAAGAAAGTGTATAAAAGGACTTCATGAATTTCTATGCACACACCTAAACATAAAGCATTCCAATATGTTTTACGGTAGAGAAAAATACAGGCCAGATTATACAGCATTTCTATGTACACCAGATGGTTATAAAGAAAGATCAGCTAGAAGGCTTTGGAGGTTTGAACCCTGCTTGCCACCCTCATCTAGTAAATTAAAATCAACTTGATTGACACCCAGTTCTCACAGAGATATCCAGTGGTTAAGCTACCCACATTTTTAAAGACTGCTGTCTTCTTATTTCTGAGGTCTGAAAATGAGCATTGTGCACCTGTGGAAGGAAAAATATATTCCGCAGCGGCTTCTGTAAAACCAGACACTTGGTCCGTGAAGTTTGCCATCAAAATCTGTGGGCTGTGTGGGATGAAACCCTCTCATGTGGGAGAAAGCCCTTTTCCAATGCTTCCTCTGGGGAATTGCTCAAGACCGCTTAAAAACGCAAATCAAAGCTGGCAGTCAGGAAACCAAAACGCTACTTCAGTTCTTAAGGTTCATAAAGTAAAAGAGGAAAAGTTTCACTTTTTTTTTTTTGGTTTGTTTGTATTTTTTAACTTGAAAACCTCACAAAAGCTGTAAAAAAATGCTCCACTATTAAGGAAAGTGGAATCATTAGCAATTTAACTGAGCGCCTTCCAAACTTATTCTCCTTATGGTTTGCATATCAAAAGAAATAATAAAGATATTTTAAAATTCTGTTTGGCATGGAGGAGATTCAATGCTATTATTCAAATGAAAGAGTTATATGTAAAGCTTTCTGTCATGTGAAATTTTGTTTCATTGGAAAAAAAGTATTGCAAGGAGTGCGGTTTCCTTTGAGAAAATGATATAAAATTACTATTGGCCAAGATATTATGTGACCTGGGCATATTAAAATAGCTTTTATCTCAAGCCACAGTGCAGGCAGCTTGTTTCATATCTGATGTAAGTGGATGATCAAGCATGACAAGAGCACAGGTATGGGACAAGGCCAAACCAAGTGTGTGGTATGTCCAAGTTCATTCTTCTTTTATGGTAGTGCCGGACTCACGCCCATCATCACAAGGGTGAAAATACACTGCTTCATTCAGCAGATCCCCTTGAGGGAAATTATCTTTTCTGGGAGAAAATAAAAGTGCTCCCAGTGTAAAAGAGCTCCCTGTTGCTCCTAAATTTGGAGATGCAAAGTGTTCTCCCAGGGTTTGCTTCTGCTTTTCCTGGCAGTTGACCCACCCCACCAGCTATGAGCCATTTAACAGTAACTGCCTTCCCCATGTGCCATCAAGTTCAACACCCTGAATCACTGGGTGAGATCATCCGAGATTGCTCATGATCTAACTTCCACAGGGGCCTTTACCAGACACTTGAAGCGACTCTTTCTTCATGGGGTACACAGCAGGCAAGATGATGCTTAGAAAAATCAGTGGTGAGATTTCGTGTAGTTCCCCACTGTCTCCCCCTTTGCAAAGGGTGTGGAGGCATAACATGAGTCTCCTCTTTATGCCATTTTATGGCTGCCCCCGGATTGGGTTCATTGCCATTACTATGCAACATTATTCCAGCAGGCTTTGACTGACTCCTTTAATGTTTCTCAAAAAAGAAAAGGTGAGCAGTAGGAGGGTAATCTGGTCATTTTAAGGGCCTGCTACACCTAGGGAAACACATGTTTTAGATTTTCACTATTCCCACAGGTACAAACAATATTCTTTTCATCATCAGGAAGTATACCCCATTGTATTTCCATTTGTGAATCAAAATCAGGTAAAGGAGAGTGGGAATAAGTATCATTGAGCGAGAAGCTGGGAGGAATCACTCCTAAAAAGTGCTTCAAGAGAATAGAAAGATCAGAATCTCTGTTACAAACACAACTTTTTTTGCCCTTATTTTTGTGGAAATGGGGAGATGAGGAAGATCAAAACTCTATACCTGCTCTTGTTTTTCTTTCTTAAATCAATAAGAGTATTTTCTCTAATAAATTAAAATCCATCTCTATTGTGCCCTTCTCTAACAGGAGAAAAGTTCTAAAGACCCAAAGGATTGCAGGTCTGCCCCACATTAAAACCCACATTATTTTTACCCGTTATAATTGTAAAAGCTATATCGTGGGCATAAAAACCCTCAGAATGTGTATTTAACTGATGGGTGATTTACATCAAGAAAACCAACCCTAACTCTCCCAAAGGACCCAGTGCTGGGTAATTATTTGAACGTTAGAAGCAGCAATTTACTCCTCCGTATCCATGGTCATCCACTTTGGTATGACAATTTGCAGACTAATTGAGATGCAGCCATATTTCTCAATCTTCAGTCCTCCAAGTAACCCTCTGAGAACTAGGTCTTTCTTCTTGCCTAAGCTTTCTCTTCCACCAGGCCCCCATCAGCATTCATATGCATAATTTAACGATGGTACAGATCTTGAGACTAGAGTGCCATCTTCTCTTTGGAGAGGCGCCCTGTTCCAGCTATTGAGGGAAAAGATAAACAAAAGGAGAGAAGAGGAGAGGGATAAGGGGAGAATAAATGCCCTTTGGAATTTAGAGACTCTTTCTCTTCAGCTTTGTGTGAGACGGACTTCTTACTAACCCACAGCATCCAGAAAGTTTTCTTAAAAGGAACAGCTCACAAATTGCTACAAAAAGGTGAGAATATAAGGGGGGGAATTTTTCCAATGACCTGACAATGATTGACAGCAGTTTATACCCCACAGTATAAAATTAGAGCTCTGCTAAATGTCCCCTTTCTAAGGAGACGAGGAGTAAAGAGTGAGAGAATTAAGCACATTTCAGCACCAACAGTGAGAAGGCACTAATCTGACATTCCACTATAGTTGTGGTAACTATGTTTGCTGTTTGAGGAAGGAGGTTTTAGTCTTTCCTCAAGCAAATAGATTTGCAGGAAAGGGGTTAAGGGAGTCAAACACGGTCAGAATGTCTATAATCTGGGGCTGCCTGTGTGTGCAAATCCACAAAGCCATTCAAACTGAAGTGACTGAAACAAAAATGTTCCCAAAAACCGATCCTAGAGTAATCAGTTAAAGAATTCTGAATTCAAACTTCCCAGTGTAGCATCATAGAAAATGTTACAACACACCTGATGGTTCACCTTCAATCTCCTCCATTACTTTTGGGCTCACTTCCATTGTCCTTCCTGGAAAACAAAAGCTGCCCTTCTTCCCTTCAACATAGGATTTGCAAATGCAGTCATGGCCTTACTGTGCTATCCCTTTTTTTCTTTCACTGGAAGAAATCTCTGCTCAGTTCTTATAGATCAAATTTCTGGAGTACCACTCATACTTGTGGCTTTTCTCATTACCAAAAGTCTCATACTTTTCTTAAACAGAATGTAAATTTTTACTCCAACAAATAAAAAGGTTTTACATTATCTAAACCTTAATTCATATATCCAGAAGAAATGTAATTTAAAATTGCTGCTTGCCTCCAATGGATTCTCTGAAATAAAGTTTCTCAGCAATTTCATTTACTTAGTCTCTATTCTAACTTGTTGGGGATTAAAAAACTTATTGAGAAAAATCACAGAATATAAATTTTGAAAGGATCCTTGGAGCTAATTTTAACTGAAGTTAATTTTACAGGTGAGAAAAGGTCAGAGAGGTCAATGTCTTGCCCAAGGTCACCCAGACACACATAGCAGAACCAGGACTAGAGGTCATGTAGACAAACTCTCCAATCACTGATTTGTCTTGAATAACTGTAATGTGTGTTCCCCACACGGTGCGTATCTAAGATGTCTCTGACTGTACTGAGAATTCGGTTGGTACTAAATATGTAGGGTTCTCAGAAACTATAACCTGGTAGAGGTTTGGGGGCTATAGCTATACCTTTATTACAGACTGTCTAAAAACATTGATCCAAACCCTTGTGAAGAGTGAAATCACTGATTGTCATCATCAAAGAGATCTTGCAAGGTTTTCTCCATTCCAGGACCTGGTATGTAGTATTCCCTTGGTAAATGTGTTGAGTGGGTGGGTGAACGGGGAAAAAGAAAAGGCTAAGTATAAAATATTAATTATTCTTAACTCATTCCATAAAAATAGTTTTTAAAAAGTCTATAGGGACTCATAGATACTCAATTCTCAAATATATCAAATTTAAGATTCCCCCTTGCTTTAGGAAATGTAGGAGAGCTCTTCAGCCTTATTGATGGCCAAGCCAGTTTCCTGCCTGCAGTACTTCCACTAGTCCTCCCACAGTTATCTGAATACTAGAAGTTATACTATTGTTTACAACCAAATATCTAGTTCCAATATTTATGTGACAGAACAAATGTATTATTTTGTGATGAATTTACAACATAACCTTCTTCTTCTCCCACCCAATAAACACTTGCACCTTCCCAAGTCTTTAATGAAAAAAGGGCAAAATATATAATGGACAGTCAGAGAAAACTTTGAGGGACATACTGGTTGAGGTATGTAGGCATGAGGCTTGCTGTGACAAAGAGGAGGGGCCATCAAGGGCCTGAGATATAGACAAGGGGTGATGCAGCTGAGAGGGTTTATTCTCTGAAAGAGAAGAGGGAGACATGTCCAAGAGTTTTGAGATCCTGGAGGAGATATTTTTAATATGATTGTCTGAACCAAGACCCTCTCAAATGTTTTGGAGATGAGATCCTATTTGGGTCAGGCTTCTGTTGGTACAGCACCATTTGAGGACTGGTTCGCATGGATGAAAACTTTGTAAGCATTATATTCATCAAAACTCTTCTTAACCCTTGACTGTACTTCAGTTAGTGAAAAAGCCTCATTTAACCTCATTTAGACTTGACTCTTGCCCAGCATACTAAATCTATGTCATAAATATGTTCTCTGCTAAGATTATCACACAATTTTGGTAATATATAAGGTTAGTCCAATATAGAAAATGATGAAGGTAGAAAAGAATATTCGTGTAGCATTTCTGGAAACAATTTACCCTAAGTGAGTGGACAGATGTTACCCCAGATGTGTCTTCACTTTCCTCTAAAGCATGCCTGACAATTGTTTGCATATCTTTGAAATAATAATTGTGTTTGTGAAACTGATTTATTGTATGTTCAAACTTACAGAGTCTATGACTAAGCATCATTGTGAAAACATTCTTTTAAGTACGTTTTTCTTGAAGACTGCCTCTCTTAAGCTCTCTATTGATGTGTTTATATCACAAGATATTTAGGCATTGGCATCATTCGATGTGCTGAAATAAAAGACAATTAATCACTTCATGTGCTACTTTTCCAGCTCTAACTGAATAGTGGGTGTGGGTGTCAGCTGTTGGCTTCTCCAGGGGAAAAAATTGGATCTAGCCTGTTGGGTAGCTTCTCCATTCCCCTCTGTTAGCTAGATAAAACAGCTGTTTTTCTGAAAGTCTGGACCAATGGCCTCCATAATTAAGGCTTCATGTACTAGGGCAACTATGGCTGGTTCATACCGAAATTGTACTACCCAGAAGAAGGATGGATAAGCCATAGCCTACTTCAGTTCAGTTCAACAGGAGGACAGTGAATCTTAAGAGCTATTTGAAGAGCATTGTCCTGGGGCAGCTGGGAGGCATTTTGGCAGCTATCATCCATCCCATGTAGTATGTTGTTCCAACTATTGCCTTGCACGCTCTAAAGATAAACCTAAACTTAGCTCGTAAATTCAGCGTGATGACTGTATATTGTTAGAGTTCTATACAGAACTCTACTTAGCAACTGTCCATTCTTGAAGTCCAAGTCTCATGGTGTTCATCAGTACTATAAATTCAAACAAGAAGCCTCTTGTTAAAAGGTAGACACAGGACAAGGCCAAGAACTACATGAAGGGAGACACTAGGTGGAGCTAAAAATTTGTGGCTAAGATGGCCAAGATTGTTGAGGTTGGAAGAATGAGGGGAGAAAAGGGATCTGCAGCAAAAATGTGCTATTGGATCCACAACTCCTAGTTAAACAACATGTCTAGGACCCCTTCCAGCTCCCAGATTATTCCAACCCCCTGCTGTTCAAATGAGTGGCAAGGGGAGTCCTTCACCAGTAGAGGGAACCAGGGCCTGAGTGTCTCAGGATAGAAAACTAACTTATTCCCAGAGGGGCCTTGAGATTTGAATTTTTCTGATAAGAGGCAGAGTAAGGTGTCCTTTGCTACCAGTAGCCAAAATGCACCATGGGAGTGTATCACATTGTTGGTTTCCTTTATTTAAAAAAAAACAAAAACAAAAAATGTAAGCCTCTAGGAATAAATCACCTACTTTTTAGCAATGCCAGGAATATCCAGGCTTCTAGAAGTTTATTAGAAAGAAAACCAAAGCAATCTTAGAAAATGTTATTTCCAACGCCACCACCAGACCACAATAAATGTTCAAGACTAAATGTTCAATTCAGTAACAAACACACCCCGGCAGCTGGGTGTCAATGAGAGACAAACACAGAGAGCTGAGGGCTCTCATGAGTTTAAAAGGGAAGTCGTGGGGCCCTGCCAGGACAGGACCCTCCTGTCAACAGAAGAGGAGGAAGGGAACTGGAAGAAAGCAGGAGGCCAAGCAGGATCTAGCTTATTACGGAGCTTGGATCTCCAACCGAGATGGCCCAGAACATGCACTCCTAGTTCTGGGTCTCTCCAGGGAACAGCCAGAGCCCTCCCTAGACCAAAGTGAACACTTTCCTGTTGAACATTTCCATTGAACAACTGTGTAGGGATGGCTTGTTAAGACCTGAGATACTTGCATAATTCAGAATCCTTTGGGGGATAGAGATCAATTAGGACTGTAAAAGAAAAAGATCCCTGGCACATCAGAGAAGGACTGTTAGCTTTGTAAAAATTATGACATTCACAGAAGAACAGAGCAGTCCTCTTTCTAAGGCTATTTCTGATGTCAATAGAAATGATGCCGAGAAGTTGGTATGCATGTGGCCTGAAAATCCCTGTTCCAGAAAATCTTCAGTATTTTAATTTCAAAAACACCTTGACTCTTTCTGGAGCTTCAGGCAAGGCATTGATCATCTCTGTGCCTTAATTTATTTATCTTACACAGAAGAACAATTCTCAAATAACTACTCTCTTTACTTAGAAACACTTGAAGTCTTGCCAAGTATTTTACAGAATGATGCTACTTATGCATATGTTGTTACTGTTACTTAGTATAGTAAATGGATTATAGTCACAGTACCATGGCTGATGATATTTATACAGAACCAAGTCAAAAGGGAATAAAGTTCCAAATAAGCACATAACCTTCCAAGATATAGCAAGAACATTTTTTGTGTGTTAGAATCCAGAACAAATTCCACATGTCTCAAAGGGTCAGACAAGGTCAAGAATAAGCAGAAAAGGGAAAAGAAATAAAATTATGGCTTAAGAGTCTCAAAAGGCCTATATGTTCACCTGTCCATATTTTTACACCAGTCACAAGATAATTCCTCACACACAAGAAAAGGTTTTGTGATTTAAATTTTTTATTTTAACTGAAGAAAGATGAAATTTTGAGTAAAATCTCTGAGTGACACTTTTCAACATTTTCCAAAGTGTCTTTCAAAACAGTAACACCTGGGATAGAAAAAGGTTGTGCAGGCAAATAAATTTTAGAAATACTCAGTGAAGCAATATGATCAATTATATTCGCTGCAAAACTTTTAAGAGACCTTAATATGCTACATATATTTTCATTCTTCAAAAAAGAATGAAATACAGTTAATATAATAGTGTGTCCTAAACTTAATCAATGACAAATCTTCCCAACCTGAGAACATCTCTTGACACTGGTATTCTATGGAGCAGTTTTGGAACAGTTTAGGAATCACTGTCCTGCTTCATTACTTCAAGATCTACTGGGACATGGTACTTTCAGTGTTGCTAAATATTATGTAATACACATTGACTGTCAATGTCAATCAATAAAATACGAAAGAATTCCAGTGTGATTTCCAAACCCAGATGAAAAAGGAAGAAGCAGATGAACATCTTAGGCCCCAAACTCTGAGTTGTTTTTGTTTTTTGTAATAGTAGTAGTAGTAGTAGTAGTAGTAGTAGTAGTAGAAATGCCAGAATAATTTTAAGTATTTTACAAGTTCTTGATAGATGAATGGGCAGATGGAAGGTTAGAAGAAAGAGGTTAGAAGGTTATAAGGAGGGAAGGAGAAAGGAAGGGTGATCAAAGTCGAACAGATTGAAATGATTTCTTCCTTCCTTTTCCTTTTCCACTGCCTGGATATTGTGTTATAAATAGAGAAATAGCCAACAATGAGCAATAAATCCAGTAAATAAGGAGCCTAGATAATTCTATGATTTAGCTCATCTATCTCTGGGCTGATAATTCTGTTTCACCTTAAACACCCTTAATCGAGATCATTAGCCAAGCATCTTCCTTAAGCATTAACTTCTTCACCATCAATAGGCAGCTATTTCCTTTAATAGGAACACACTTACTGATATTTTAGGAATCTTTCTACATTGGAGATTATTTGATTTATCTATGACACTCAGACCTCCCAACCCCATCAAATTCCCCATTCTCTTAGGGCCCTACTCTGGGAATTCTCTTTCCCCTTTGCAAAGAATTGCCTGTAGGCTAACATCCCAAAAGCAGCAAAGTGGAACCCTCTCCTTTGAGGGAAAAAAGTAGCTCAGAGTCATCCAACAGAGAAACTTAAACTCATCATTACTAGTTATAATAATAGATATTACTTATTAAGTGTTAGTAGGACCAGACATTGTGCTGGTCTCATTATCTCTGTTTTTTATACTAACCTTACAATGGTGGGATTATCGTTCCCAATTTAAAGATGAGAAAAATTGAGCCTCTACTTGGTAAAGCAACTTGCACAGAATCACACAGCTAGAAGGAGCAGAGACAGTATTCGAATCCAAGTCATACTCCAAACTCCATAGTCTCCCAGCTCCTCCATGCTGCCTCTCACAATGTCTCATCCTATCATAAATGGGAGAAAAAAACATTAACTCCCTGTGACAATACCT